GCAAAGGCTTTATCAGCAGGTCCCAGTCACTGCTTCTTGAGAAAAGCAAACGGTGCTGTTATTAAAAACCAATCTACCTGAGTTTCAAAAGGACACCTACCATGCATATATATACTCTATTCATAAAAGGTTTCTGCCCCAAACTCATACTTCTTTAAAATCCCATCTCATCATCACAGTGACTGGCACTAAGGGGTGAATATGAGAATCTAATGTTTCCACCATTCCTTGCCAAAGCTCTTCCTAACTGGACATTCCTCACGGGTGCTCAGAGGACGGGCACAGCACTGGTTGTCTTTCTGAGTTTATGTCAGAACAGCAAACATGACCCAGCTGTCCTTTCAATTATCCAGGATACAAATTACTGGTTTTTCTTTTAATCAGAACTCATTAAACTCACAATAAATCATCTGAATTTACCAGAACACAGCTTTACATATATATCAAGGTAAAAAGACAAGTGAGAAAAATGTTATTTTCACATGTGCTAACAACAGTATTTCTAATGCAATCTCATTTGTCATAGAGTATGATAGGAAAGGACAGACCTTGAAATAAAACTCCTAGTCAATCTTATAAAATTCCAACTTCTAAAACAGCAAGATGAGAAGACACCAAAGACACCAGTGTCCTTAAAGAAATCCCTATTTCTGAAACACTGGAGGCACAGCTCTGGATGAGTCTTTAGGCAGTCACACATGTACACAGCAAGGCAGCTCCCAGGGTGAGGGTGGAATTAATACAGCAAGGCTGGAACAGAATATACATGGAACACCCTCCTAACCCATCAAAGCATTTGGGAAATTGTTCAGGTTCATGAGATTTGATATGGATTCAGAAAACAATTTATAATCCTCACACGTAAACTAAATTTTAATCTTCCTTTGCCATGTAAGAAAAGTACTGTCAAGTGAAACTGGAGGGATGGCTGAAAGTTAACACCTTCTGCTCACCCAGGGGACTAGAATTCAGTTCCCAACACCCACATCAAGCAGCTCACAACTACTTTTAATTCCAGCTCCAGATCTGACACCTCTTCTAGCTTCCTTGGGCACCTACATTTTTATGTGTGTTCCTGAGCAAGTAATCACCACACACACACACACACACACACACACACACACACACACACTTAAAACTAAAACAAATTATTTTAAGTCAAACACTGCTTTAAAGATCTAAAGTCATTTGGCAATCACAGTAACAACTTCCCTACACAAGGAGAAAGTGCAAGGGAAGACGTGCAGCCTTAACTATTAAGTATCTACTCATCACAAGGGGGAAAGGAGTAATTGCACTGTGGAGAGACTCAGTGTTAGGTATCACCCTTATCAAAGCAAAACCATCAAAAACTGGCACAAAGAGATAGCATGTGCCTCTGGAGAGCCTGAGATCATGAGGAAACACTAGACAAAACAAAATTGAGTACTAGCTGGCTTCTCCTCAAAAACAAGGTCTTGAAAATGAGGACAGAGCAGCTATTCTAGATCCAAGGAGACTGCATTCAAGCGCTGTGCTAGAGGACAGGAGATGCCTTTGCTAGTGTGGAAATGAATAGAATAAATGAAAATTTAAATAGTGTGTGGATTAAAGAAAAACATTTTACAAATTTTGTAACTTTCTTTAGAAAAATTAAATTTCTTTGTGTGTGTGTGTGTGTGTGTGTGTGTGTGTGTGTGTGTGTGTGTGTGCACACACACAACATTTCATTGATCCCCTTCTACCATGCTGGTGCCAGGGATCTAACTCAGTTCCCCCACTGAGGCAACTTGTTGGCCCTTTTTATATGTGTGTATGATGTGGGTAAGGGGGCATTCAGTGTGTGTGTAGATGAGAAGGGGACTCTGTAAAGCTGGTTGTGTGTGTGTAGATGAGAAGAAGACTCTGTAAAGCTGGTTGTGTGTGTAGATGAGAAGGGGACTCTGTAAAGCTGGTTGTGTGTGTGTAGATGATCACAAGAGGACTCTGTAAAGCTGGTTTTCCCCTCCCACCTTCACGTGGGTTCCTGTGGTCGAGCTCTGGCTGCTACTCTCGTGTAGCAAGCACCGTTACCCACCACGTTATCTCCCTGGCCTCAAACTGCACAACTTCCTCAATAACAAATGAAATAATTAACTCTGCTAAAAGGAACTCAGAACCTGCAATCAAACAGATGCTCCCCTGGTTTCAGGTAGAGGGGCTAATCAACTATGCTCTGCATTATCCTTTCTCCCTCAGGAAGGCAAACAAGACAACGGACAGATTTTGGAAGGGTTCTGCTGTGGCAGCTGCCTTTGTAGTAGGAAGAGGTCATAGTACACAATGCTTAGATCCTCCAAAGGAAGGATGGATGAAAAGGCAGGAGACCAGTTTGAGTCCTACAATCCTCAAGAGGCAATGAAGACAGACACAGAATTTCTAACAATCAGTAAGCAATTACACACTAGTCTTGCTGGTTTTTCTTAAGCTGTGTCTTGGGCTTTACTACAACTATCCAACAAACCCTGATCAGCATCCGAAAACAGTATGAAATAGCCCTGGAGCCTTCCAAGCCATTTAAGAGACCCCTAGTGAACAAGTAGCACAGGGTGAGATACTTCCTCAGCAGACATACAGGTAAACACCAGCCCCCTCAAAGGTTTCACTACTGATCCACACTAGGCTGCCACTAGCTTCTACACCCACAACTTGGGAACGGTGCAACCCACTGATTGGCTACTAGTGCCCTGTGTGCTTTCCAGTCCTGGAAAGCCTCCCTAGACCCTGCTCTTCCCTAGTCCCACCACGTTTTCCTCCTCAATCTGAATCCTTACAGCCAAAGCAGACACCTAACCCTGAGGTCCCCTCCAAGTCCACAAGCTCTGCTTCTCCCCACCATGCCCTCTTGTTTCCATGGCCACCCTGCCGAAATCAGCAGATGACATTCACTAATTGGTATAATCTTGTTATCTTAGCAGTTAACTATACTTTTAAGAAACTAAGCCACTACTTCTAACAGCACACCTATGGCTGAGTGCCAAAGACCACTCTACACCCCCCCCCCCC